TATATCAGTTCTTTCTCTTCTTTCGGTATAATCCATTTGCATTTCAAGTTTACACACAACTCTAGTTTAAATAACTTGTTTTCTTATAACTCTATCTGAACAAGGATAATCTTGATTCCAATAGTCTCTTTTTATTTCTTAATCCTAAAAGTACATCTTCAAATCTGTGGTCGAAAGACGCGACCACCTACTATTTTTTCTATTTATCTTTCTTAAGTGGTCTATACCTTTTGTCTTGATAGACTAATCATGCAAATTATCTCGCCATCCTTGTTAATGTACTAATCAAGATAATGGGGACAGGTAAGTGCCACTTCATCACCACTACTAGACAAATATTTCAAAGTGCATGCCCTAATCATCTTGGGTAACCATTATAATTTCACCTTTATATATATGCAGATTATTATGATTGTATTAGTACTGCAACCAAACGGAAAAATCATCACTAGCCCAGAATTTTGGGACTGGCTGATCCCATCCTCTACCCTGAAAGTTTCTTGGTAGTATAATGAACTAAATAAGCATTCTTTCCTTCTCATCTAATATCTGTCTTAACTTAGGAAGTGACTATTTGCAATGCGGTTACACCAGAATCATGTTTTAATGAAAACCTCTAGCTCTCTCCGCTTATTTACTATGTTTTTTACACGACAACCTCCTCCCCAAGACCCCCAAACTACAGGCCTTCCCCTTCCTCCTTCTAGTCTGAACAGAAGTGTTGTTACAATGGGTCCTGTCTTGTCAATGTTATACCTAGGTTCCTCTACTCTCCAGTTCCAGCTAAACGTCTTCAATATTGGAGTCCATAATAGTTCTGGCTTTCCTGCCAGTGCCCTATATGACAAATAGGCTTTTCCATCCCCTCTCGAGCCCCACCTCATTTCACTCCACTAAGTGTGGTGAAGAAAAGCAGCTTGGGGTGCCAGCCAGGAAGATTATCTCTCCCTTACTCTGTTCTCCTCTCTCCAGTCACTCATTTCTGACCGGCTGTCGATCCTATCAGGGGTCCATAAAGCAAGGAGGACTCTGGCCCGGGAGAGGGGGGTAGGGGTTAGGCAAACAGGCCAGGGAGGCAACTGGTTGAAATTTAACCACAATATTCTTGGTCTCTATTGTTTTGAGTGAGGCCCAATATTTCCACAGCAGGATTATAGGATCTGATTAACCATGTTAGACAACAATGCTGAGCTGGGATGGGCTTCCCCTTCCAGCTGCCAATATGAAAAAGTAAATACAACACCCAGATTTCAGTAGGGAGGCCCCAGCAGCCCCTAAGCCCTACTCCCCATTTCTGACCCTATTGCTGACTTTGGCCCAAAAGTGAGAAGAGGAAGAGTATGAAGGGTGCTCCTCTAGCTGCTGGCCCCTGGCCTGAGAGGACAAGTCATTTGAGTACAGTCTTCCAAGATGAGCCAGACCATGCCTACACACTCCTTATACTGGGGAGACCAATAGTCCTTGAAGGTTCCCCCAAGCTAATTGGTTCCAAGGATCATAGTGGCTGGTAGGGACTTTTAGATCAGCCACAAATCAAAGGAATGCAGAAACATGAAGTAGGTGGCTACTACCCCTGGAAGTGCCTGCCAGATTGCTGGCTTAGGGAGAACCTGATGGCTTGGAGAGAAGGGTGACTTCATGAGGGAGGAAGTATCCCTGCCAAAGGCAGGCCTCCAGCCTTTCTGGGAGGTAAGACTCTCTGGGAACCACTGATCTCTGATTTGGATTCTCTGACAACTTCCTCCTTCATCTCAGGGGTAATATCTAAATCTCCTCACCTATTGTACATAGGGGCCTCACCCAATCGTATCCTAGAGTGGCCTTTTCAGAGCTGGGGAGAGCCCCCCCCCCAAGAGGCAGCAGTGTCATCCTCTTTCTTTTTTTGGATTCTCCTCTTTGTACACCCAAAGTACCAGTCCAGTACCTTAGAGACAGTGACCACTTGGTATGTTTGTGGGTGAGGACAGTGACATACGCTGGGATGCCTGACGCCTTGACTCCAAAGCCAGCTGCTGACTTGCCATGGACCCTTGGGTCTTCCTCCCTACTGAAACATCAGCTTTCCCCATCAATAAAATTGAGACAGAGCTCACTCTTGGGCAGAGCTGGCAGGAGGATAGACTAATTTTATCATTACCAGTTTAAATACAGAATTATCCATCCTAACACTGACCCATTAGATTGGAAATTTGTCTATAAATTAAACTGTGAAGTTCTTCCCGGCAGAACGTGTGTAGTCTCTTTGTATACTGACAGCCTAGCACAGTGCCCTGAATACAGCAGGTGCTGAATAAATGTCTAAACTGACTAAACAGTGAGTACTCAACACTGAGACAAGAGTCGATACGGACTCTGTTCTCCAATTTAACAAGCATTTATTCATTGTCTACTACATGCAAGAGATTTTGGTAGTGCTGGTGATGTAAGGGGGCAGAGACGACACATATAAACACAGGCTAAGTGCGGGTGAGTAAGGGGACAGCTTAGGTGGGGTGGGTCTCTCCGGCATCAGGGAAAGACTACAGTAGATGGGTTTACTTGTTCTCTGTGGAATCAACACTTCCAATTTAGAGACAGATGGAGGAACAGAGTCACAAGATAGAAGGCCATGGCTGTGGCTACACAGATGAACCAGTCCTGGGGCCAGGCCCAGCACCCAGAAGGGAGAGTCCACAGTCCTCCCACACTGAATTCATAGGCCTAGGGGCTCCTCACAACACACCAAGACTAAGGAGGATGCAGGGACTTGGATGAGAGAGAAAAGGACTCCCCAAAGGAGAGATGTCCCCGAGAGTTTGACAGCAAGAAGGAGGAGGGCTCAGGCAGCTGCTCTGCTGCAAAGCTCTGGCTACAAGCTTGCTTCTTAGGGAATATAGGGTTGTGACGGCGGCCTGGCCTATCTGATCCTCCGAAAGCCCTGCTCTTCAGAACAGGGTGCAGGCCCCATTCCCAAGTGGGACTCTGGGGGTAGATCCGGAGGATCTCTAAAGGAGCCCTTCCTGATTCTCCCCTCAATACTATGCAGCTATGAGCAAGAAAAATGCCCCTGGGTTTAAGAGACAATGTTGGCTAACTGAGGACAGAGGGGAAAACGAGTACTAGTGGGATGTTATCTAGGCCCTGCCTCGGTCAGTGTGGGGAAAGAAGGGGATGCCCTTGCTGAAGGAATTCTCCATCTCTGAGCCTGCCTGAGCTGGCCGTGGGGGTGGGGGGAGCTGGGCAGCCAGGCCGAGCTGGCCCTGCAGTATAGGTGGCGCTATTTCCCTACTTTTAAGTCGGACTTGGGCAGTCACTTCCTCGAGGTCTCCAGTCCTGCTCCTGGTTTGCTGGCTTGCTCATGTAAACCACCTTGTATTATTTTTTTTTCTAAAAATACTCCAAAGCAATTGAAAGAGTCCCTTCTCCCACCACCGGCCCCAGCCTCAGCCCCAGCCCCGGCCCCGGGGAAAGGGCGGGTGGGCGGGGAGGTGGGCCACTGCTTTATTAAACACAGGGAAAACTAATATTTACGGAATAAAATTTATGGAGCAGCCACTAGAATTCGACCCTTTTATGTGCCTGTAGAGCTGGGGTGGAGGCTGGGCCAGGCCAGGGCCCTGGGGGAGGGGCTGATCCAGGGGCAGGGCCTGAGAAAGACAAGTTAGGGATTCCCTGAGGCTTGTCCTGGGTTAGGTGACTCTCTGCCACTACCTTAATCTTGTCCTCTTAAATGAAAAAGTTCCTGAAACAGGACACCTGGAAAGGAGGGTGGGAGGTGAGGTGGCCCAGGCACAGCATCCCCTCAGAAATGAAGAATCCCCTTGCTGGGGATTCCTTCCCTTTCCCCATGTGGCCCAGTGCCTGATTCTCATTGAAACCAAACTGAATCCTGCAGAAAATATGTGGAAAATAAACAGAGTCACTTGATAACAAGTTCTCACACAGCCCCAGATCCACCTTAGTGTTAGCTTGGGAGACTAAAGATGCAGCAGGTTCAGCAGACCCATGAGGGGGGCAAGGTCTGTGGAAGGAGACACCATAAAGAACACAGCGTGACCTCCTGCAGTGGGCTAGGGCTCTTTACTGCCCGGCAGCAGAGGAAGAGTTGGGAATTGCCTAGAAAAGGAACAGACGGAGAAGAACCACCACTCAGCCAGAAAAACCCACCTCCACCAATCCGGTTCAGGCAGCACCTTCCCTTGGGCTGAGTTCTAAAGACCAGTGTCCTAGGACTCCTCTTCCTACCCTACTCCTAGCTTTTTTATTCCCAGGTGAACCTTTACGGGGTCCTACCTGCATAGGGAAATTGGGCAAAAATGCAGGGACTCATTGAACCCTAACTGGCTAATCCAGCTATTTCCCCCAGGAGTTGGCTAAGGGACCAAATGCTGAGGCTCGCCTCAGACTCCCGTTGGGTCCAGGATCCAGTTCCTGCTGTCATACCAAGCATCCTCTGGCCATTCTGCTGCTCCTTACCATTGCACCTTGTCTAGGTCTCGCAGAAGGTGCTTTACCTGGGGAATGGGGGGGAAGGAGGACATAAGGCCTCTCCTGCAGCTTTGAGTGGCACAGGAGGATCCTGTTAGGGCTCTACACAACCGGACTTGTCCTCTTTGCCTTGAAAACAAGACAGGAAAATGAACAGAATGGAGAAGAAGAGGGCAATGACAATCTGTGATGTTTTGTGTCCGTCCTCTCTGGGAAAAGTGACTCCAGATGCAAGTTAAGGTTTCATTTAGGTCACAGAAGAAAAACTACAAGAGAGCCTGAAGGTGTCTGAGTGGAGGGTTCAGGGTGTGAGAGATGGCCTGGGAACTTTGTACCTGTGCGTGTGAGGAGAAAGGTGGAGAAGAAAGGAGAGAAAACTACTATTTTGTGAATTATGAATGAACAGAACAAAATCTGGGGAGCTTCAGGATGGTTTTTGTATTCTACTCAGACCATGGCAGTAACTACTGGCTCCCTAAAAGAAGTAGGGACTTGCCAGTGAGTCTGATGTAAATACAGAAGTTAATACTATCTTAAGATGGCACAGGAGTTTTGGAAGTTTTTATTTTTGTTGTTGTGTTTCTAGTAAATCCACCACAAATATATAGAGGAAGATGCCGTGGAAGAATGGGGTTCAATATTTCCCCAGTTTCAAGCTCCTCTTCAGGTCAGGAAACCTAGTACAATCATGAGTATACTCAAACTGAAGGACAAAGTGTCCACTACATGGCCTAACACAAGCCTTACAGCCAGACCCCAATCTAAGGCTCCAGCCTTGCCTGACTTTGCCTGAGGTCTGAGCTTTCACCCCAGAAGATCCTTTCAAGGCAATGCTGATAGAATCTGCACCCCAAAGTCTTCCTCAGCCGCTGAAGCACCAGGACGTGAGCTCAGTTCAGTTGAACAGGCCCTTTGGTTTCTTCCTCTTGACTTTGGACAGATGGGGTCTCTGCATTGGAACTGAAGTCTCCTAGAGAAGAATGGAAGCCAAATTAGAGGGGAAATATTCTACACCTTCCCCACTCTCAGGTTTCTATCCCAAGAGAGTTACAGGCAGGATCATGATATTTACTTCTCAGGGTCTTCTTACTTTCCCTTTCTCATCTTAAAGGGAGCACCTAACTCTTTTAGGCTGAAAATGCTATATGCTGCTCTCTGTAGACAGGCACCACACACAAAAAAAAAGATAGATTGTCCTCCCTTTCCATGGGGAATGATATTTATAAGATCCAAGGGCTTATAAAGTGAGAGTGGAATAGAAGGATAAGGGAACCACTGCCTAGGTTATAAGGTCAGAAGAGGTTAAGGGTAGAGGAGAAGTGTGGGCCTCTCCCTCTAAACATCTAGTATTCAGTCATGGTCCATATCTTTAAGCATTTAAAAGAGAACAACAACATGGTAGCAACTCTAGTGGGGTAAGAACTAGGCTGATTTTAGGTGCTGATTTCCTGAACCCTTAGATTCTGTTTCAAAAAAGTTCCAGGTTTCCACTGATTTTTACCATATTTAAAGTCTCAAGCACAGACAGGGATGGGGCAGAGAAGGACTGCTGCTCTGGCTGGCTCAGTAGTATACCATCAGTTTCATTGGAAGAAGTCCTGTCCGAGGCCTGGGAGTCTCCTGGAATCAGAGAGGTCAAACAGGACAAAGAAATCTCCCTTCCCATGCCCATCAACTGAGAAATGGCTGAACAAGTTGTGGTATATGAATGTAATGGAATACTATTGCGCTATAAGAAAGGATGAGCAGGTGGATTTCAGAAAAACCTGCAAAGACTTATATGAACCGATGCTGAGTGAAATGAGCAGAACCAGGAGAACACTGTACACAGTAACAGCCACGTTGTGCGACGACTAACTTTGATAGACTTAGCTCTTCTCAGCAATTCAAGGATCTAAGACAACTCCAAAAGACTCACAATGGAAAATGCTATCCACATCCAGAGAAAGAACTATGGAGTCTGAATGAAGATGGAAGCATACTATTTGTTCTTTTCTTTTGTTGTTTTGCTCTGTTTCTTCTTTCTTGTGGTTCCTCTCATTGGTTTTAAATCTTCTTTACATCATGACTAATGTGAAAATATGCTTAATATGAAGTAGAGCCTATATCAGATCGCATGCCATCTCAAGGAGGGGGGAGGAAAGGGAGGGGCAGAAAATTTACAACTCAAAATCTTATGGAAGTGAATGTTGAAAACTAAAAGTAATTAATTAATCATTTAAAAAATAAATAAATCTAGGCTTCCATGGGAAAAAAAAAAGAAATATCCCTCCCACCAAAAGGGACAGGGACAGGGTCATTGTCACGGCCAGGTCAGAGTGACTGGTTCCGAATCCCCAACCACCCTCACAGTAATTGCCAAGAGACACCCCACAGTGCTAGCTGTTGTGAGGTTTCAGGCGTGATGGACAGGAGGTCCCTGCACACATCGAGCTAGGCTAACTAACACTCTGGGGGGCAGAACTCAGTGTCAATTGAGCAGCCACAAACTGCAGCTCTCTCCAAGCTTGGAAAAGTCCTATGACCCAAGTCTCACAACGAGTATCCAGACTTCTCAAGGACCCTGGAGAAATTCAGTGTCCAGTTACGACAAATGAAGATGCCTGATAGGCAGGTAAGAGAAAGAAAAGGAATAAAGCCTTCTTGCTACCTCACAGCCCAGGGCTCTGGCAACCCTTGGCACATCCCATGAGGACTGGACTAGCTTCATCAGATGTACTCTCCTACCCTAGACACCTAGAATAGGAACAGAACTCCACTGAACTGCTCACCCCCAAACTGCTCACCAGAACCTTGTCGTTTTCGTTCTGCCTGGAATCCTTGTTTAGTTATTGTCACGTAGAGATTCTGTAGCTTCATAGCAAAGGATCTTCCATTCTCAATACTGCATGCCTCTGGCAGATTCTATGGGAGAAATGAAACCCTTGTCATTGACATGCACAGAAAAAAGAAACTTAGAAACCCTCTTTTCCATCTGTGGGGCTGGCATCAACTTCAAAAGAGATATACCTATCCCTGCAGAAGGAAGGTTAAGAAGTTGGTCTGGTGTGGGACCTGGGGCTCCAAATCCATTAGGACCCAACCGTATAACAGAATCCTTCTTAGAACTTTTCCTTTGGCAGGTGTCTCTGAATCTCCACTTTCATATTCCCCAATTCTTAATTGTATCTCATCATCTCATTTACATCCTGTGGGCCTCTAGCCTGGGGGATTTTGATCATCCCTGATAGATCTGTCTTAGGAGATTTGCCACTAAACAGATGATCATTTTAATCAAGCTCATAGTCAATCTCTACGATCGAGAGAAAAGGTAAAAGCTAACAGATTTGAGCCCATGGCAAACAAGGGGCCAACCTTGGAACAGTGGAGAAAGAGGCAATACAGATTGTGGGAGCATAGGTGTGATGAAGGATGTGGGAGAAATGGATCAAGGATGAAGGAAATGGGAGAGGTTTTTGAGGCATTGAAGACAATGGGGTCAAAAGAGTTCTGTGACACAAAGAGAAGCAGCCTTTGGCCACAGAGTCAAAAGAGTTGGATTTAAGTTCCAGCTCCACAACTTACTAGCTATGTAACCACATGCAAGCTATAAATTCTCTGAATCTCTCAAACTCTACATTACCAACCTCACAGCTTTAGTTGTGAAGAAAGCACTTTAACGGCAACCTGTAGAGTACTATCCAAGTGTCAGCTAATCATCATCATCATCAATCATCATCATCATCATCATCATCATCATCATCATCATCATCATCAT